CTCCACCTGTTTCCTGAGCCTTGGAAGGAAGGGTGGTGTAAATGTCTTGTTTAGGGCTGAGCACTCCATCACCCTATATTCTCAGTGGCCGAGCCTCAAATACAATCATTGGGCAATGGGTTGGTGCCCCATAACAAGTGGGCACATCTTTCCTAGCAGGGTCTTATCTAGCTCTGGTAGGTAACCGAGAGGAATGGAAGAATCTATACTGTTTGGGAGTCTCTGGAGCATCCCTGACCAACAACTGACATGGAAGTATCCCAAACCTAGTTCTGGGATTGTTGTTTAGCAACCCACAGCTTCTAGGAACAGTATTATCCAGGTAGGCTAGCTCTCCTCTAATATATATGTATAGATATTTACATATTATATTATAAGGTAGTAACATAACACGTGACATATACCCTTTGCTTTGACTAACCACCCCCACCCCATCCCCTCACTCCCCCAACGTCTTTCTCTAATTAAATCTTTGCACTCCAAAGAGCATTACTGCTATTGCAGAGAACGTGTTTGATTCCCAGAACCCACATGGCAGCCTATAGCAGTAGTAACTCCAGTTCTGGGGGATCCAACACCCCCTTCTGGCTTCTGCATGCACCAGACATACACACAGTACACTTAGATACATGCAGGCAAAACAAACGTAAAAAATACATCTTTTATATATTTTTTAAAGATTTATTGTGTGTCTACGAGTGCTCTATCTGCATATATGCCTGCACACCAGAAGAGGGCATCAGATCTCACTACAGATGATTGTGAACCACCATCTGGTTGCTGGGAATTGAACTCAGGACCTTTGGAAGAGCAGCCTGTGCTCTTAACCTCTGAGCCATCTCTTCAGCCCCTAAAAAATAAATTTTAAGGAACAAAACCAAAAGCCTTTCCACTTGCAATATTTTTCTTCTCTGCTTTCATTTTATTAAGGAATCACCCACATACACACACACATGAGAGGCCACCCCCCTGCCCTCTCCATATTACTTCTCCTCTGAAGCCCTGTCGGGCAGAAGGTGGGGAGCACTGTAGACTGTCAGCTGCACTGTGTGCAGGGATCTATTAGGTTGGCTTACTAGATAAAGTCAGAGTCATCCAATGATAGCTGTCTGCATGCTGGAGACACAGAACCGGTACCTGCTCAGCCCATGGGGCTGGATGCCTCAGCAGGTCCAATCTAGTCGGGAAGAACCGGTTCCAACATCAGCAGCATTAGCAGAGGTAGCAACAGGATAACTGAACTCCAAAATAGGGCTCATGAGCTCAAGAATAGTGTAGATGGACTTGTAAACGGGGCACATGAACTCACAACTGAGCTGTGAAGTCAAGCAGGCAAAAAGCAAGCGCTTCCACTCAGGCCTTCTATCTGGGCCATCCACATTTAGAGCGGGCCTTCCTATTTCATTGCTATAATCAAGCAAATCCTTATCAGGCTTGTCCAGAGATTAACCTCATCTAGATACCCCCTCACAGGTGTATCCAGAGCTTGTCTCATGATTCTAGATCCTGTCAAGTTGGAGATGTTAACCATCACAAGAGTCATAAGAGTTCCTTTCTTAAAGGGGACTATAATGGCTGTTCTTGGTTGTCAGCTTGACTACATCTGGAATGAACTAAAACCCAAGTGGCTAGGGACAACTATGAGGGATATTTTCTTAAATCATTTGAAGTGGGAAGACCCATTTTTAATTCAGATCTTCTGAGGTGGGAAGATCCACCTTTAACCTGGGCCATACTTTCTGGTGTCAGCTCATTTAAAGGACATGGAAGAAGAAAGCTTGCCCTCTCTGCCTGCTAGCCCTAGCTGGCAAGTCTGTCCCTTCACTGAACAACTACTGGATTCTTGGACTTTCCACTGGTAGACAGTCATTTTTGGACTAGCTGGACTGCGGCCTGTAAGCCTTTTTTTTTTCTTTCTTTTTTCTCTTTTGGTTTGTCAAGACAGGGTTTCCCTGTGTAACCCTGACTGTCCTGGAACTTGCTCTGTAGACCAGGCTGGTCTTGAACTCAGAGATTCAATTTCCTTTGCTCCCCAAATGCTGAGATTAAAGGCATGAACCACCACCACCTGACTATGTAAACTATTCTAATATATATATATATATTCTAATATATATAAATATATATTCTAATATATATAGATAGATAGATAGAGAGAGAGAGAGAGAGAGAGAGAGAGAGAGAGAGAGAGAGAGAGAGAGAGAGAGATTCATTCTTTAAGTTCTGTTCCTCTGGAGAACCCTGACTAATAAGGTTACTGACTGCTTTTGTTCTCTTTTGTTCTCTTTTGGGGTCACACACACAATGAGTGAATGCACTACAGTGGGCCACATTCTCCTGAGCCTGCTGGCTGCCTTGGGGCTGTTCAGTCCTCCCTTGTGTGTGGAGCTCTACTCTTTTGGTCTCAAGTGCTGGCATCTGACCCGTGCCCTTTAAGACTTGTTGCTAATTTGGTCTCTGACTGGGCAACCCTCCTGTCAAGCTGAGGAAGCCGAGTCTCCGTTTGGAGGCTTTTCAGTGATCTTCTCTCATGATGAAAATGGGTGATCTGTTATTGAAAGAAATAACCCTGGCCTAAGTATCTAAGCATGCTCTAATTTAATCTAACTATAGTGTGTTGTTGGAGGGTTTTTTTATTTTTGTTTTGTTTTGTTTTACTTTTTATTATTTGAGGGGCCCACCACCCAGCTCCCAGATAAATACACCGAGACTTATTCTTTCTTATGAATGCCTGGCCTCGCTTGACTTATTTCTAGCCAGCTTTTCTTAACTTAACTTATCCTGTCAGCCTTTGCTTCTGGGCTTTTACCTTTCTCTATACCTTTCCTTACTTCTTACTCTGTGGCTGGCTGTGTAGCTGGGTGGCTGGCCCCTGATGTCCTCCTCTTCTTTTCTCTCTCCTCCATCTTCTCTTTTTGTTCTATTTATTCTCTCAGCCTGGGAGCCCCGCCTATCCCTCTCTTGCCTAGCTATTGGCTGTAGCTTCAAAGAGTTAAACAAATGCAATGTAAAAGAATGCAAAACATCTTTGCATCATTAAACAAATGTTCCACAGCATAAACGAATGTAACATCTTCAACTAATATTCCACAACAATTGTGTGCTCTTTTAGTTTATTACTCTGGTTCCTGAACATTGCTATACTTGTTCATGTGTTATTTTGTCATTTAATCTGGCTCAATCCATGTTTATAATGATAACTTTGTAAAGGCTGAAAACGTTGTCAATAGCAACCATCCTATTGTAGATTTGTCTACATGAGGGTTCCTGGACTCCAATAAAGGGAAAAATGCTTTTCCAGTCTACTCCGGGGGACTCTAATGGACTAGGGTCTTAACAGAGGTGTCAAAGTATCTGACTCCATGACAGTTGGTGGCTTCATAGGGAGTCTCTGCAGTAGGTCAATACTCTTTCTGATGGAATGGACTCCAGCTCACCCAGAAGAGGCACCTAAGGACATGCCTTGACCTGTCCTTGGTGCTGAGGCTTTCTGAGGCAAGAAAACTGGGGTGTCTGGCCTACTGGTGACTCTCTAGGAAGGAATTTCTACTGAGCAGGACACCTTACTGCCCTAACACTTCCCTAGCATCAACTCTTGCTTTGACTACCGAAAGAAGCCTTTGAGCCATATGTGGCAGCTCATACCTGTAAGTAATCCCAGCACTTGGGAGATAGATGAAGGTGGATCAGGAGTTCCAGATCATGCTTGGCTACATAGTAAGTTCTAGGTTGAGGTTAGCCTGGGCTGCCTGAGACCCTGTCTCTCAGAAAAAAAAAACAAAAACAAAAACAAAACCCACAACTACCACTCACCAACAAAACCAGGCAAATCTCCTTGAGAATCCCATACTCAGCCTCTCCATTGTCTCACCGTCTCTCCAGCCACATCTTTCTCCTAATCCCATGCTTAAAGTTTCTACTAAAAGTGTCTTTTAGTAAACTCCAACTCTGCTATATTTAAAGAAGGAAGAAAAGAGAAAAGGGGATCCATACATGCTGCACCCCACTGTCCCAGGGTGCTGGGTTCTGGCTGGAGAAGACCCTGTTCGCCTCTTCATGGTGCCTTGCCAGGAGCCCACAGCACAGGAAAAGCACTGAGTTCTCTTACTGCCTGTTAGCATGTAGGCAACATTTTCGAGACAGAGTGTCTCTGTGTAGCTTTGGAGGCTGTCCTAGAACTTGATCAGTAGACCAGGCTGGTCTCGAATTCACGGAGATTCACCTGCCTCTGCCTCCCAAGTGCTGGGATTAAAGGTGTGTGCCACCACTGCCCGGCTTGAGAAACCCTGTCTCAAAAAAAAAAAAAAAATCAAACAAAAAACTCAAAGTAAATCAGAAGCCCTAAAATAGACTGAGATCTTCCTTGGCTTTCCACATACAATATTCTATCTATCCACAGTCGCCATGTTCCACACAGCCAAGGTCGGGTTGTTAGGGCTCTCCATATATTCCAGACTGGTTTGGACTGGCTATGTAGCTGAGCATGACCGTGAACTCCTTATTCTCCTGCCCCCACTTCCCCAGTCCTGAGATGATAGGCATGTACCACCATACCCAGTTTATACAGTACTGGGGATTGACCCGAGGCCTTGGCGAAGGCTAGATAGGCACTCTACACCTGAGTTACAGACCAGTGCCAATACCCGCTTTTGAGACAGGGTCTCACTCTCTTGCCTGGGCCATTGTTAATCAGTGACCTTCCCCAGTCTCCTGAGCAGGTGGCCCCATGGACACGAGTACAGCAGCTCTATGCCTGGCTTTGGCAGAATCTTTAACATGGACACAGATTATTCAGAAAATTTCAGTTCCCAGAATGCATGTGGGCATGATGGAGCCTGAGGAGAGGCAGGTAGATGCTGGGGAGCAAATGAAGCTCCTGGGGTTCCAGGTCAGACCTGTGATTCACGCAGTAAGGAGCTGGGTGCAGAGACTGCCAGCAGGGGGTGCGGGGGGGGGGGGGGGGCTGCTATGGGCAGAACTTAAATGAAGGCAGCTTTTTTTTTCTTTTGAAAAACATTAAATTGTGATATTAAAACTATATGACATAAAGTTTACCATCTAAACCTGGCAGGGATGGGGGCAAGTGCCTACAATCTCAGTGCTTAGGAGATGGAGGCAGGAAGATCAGGGGTTAAAGGTCAGCCTGCATTACATGAGACCCTGTCTCAAAAGGACCAAGTAATTAATACTACTAGTAATTCGTAGTATAGCAATAGCACTATTTGGGAGCTGGTGATACAGCTGTGGTAGAACTCTTACCCAGAATGTTCGAGGCCCTAAGTTCAATGCTGAGGACAGCCAAAACTAAAATAAACAGTACCATGTTGTTTGGGGGCTTTTGTTTGTTTTCCTTTCCTTCCCTTTCTTTTGAATGAATCTCACTATGTAGCCCTGTCTGGCCTGGAATGCACTATGTAGATCAGGCTGGCCTCATACTCAAAGAGGTCCGCCTGCGTCTGCCTCTAGAGTGCTAGAGTTAAAGGTGTGCCCAGCAACACCCGGTCTTGTTTGGTTTTTGAGACAAGGTCTCATGTAATCCAGGCTGACCTCAAACTCTCCATTTGCAAAAAACAAAAACAGATTTATCGAGTGTACTGAAAAATGGTAGCAGGCTGGACAGTAACTAGACAGGGTCTCACAGTGGAGTACAGAATGACCTTGAACTCTCCATCCTCCTGCTTTAGCCTACAGAGTGCTAGGGATTAAAGGGGTGTCCCTTTAATCATTTATCGTTTAATAAGGTTGAACAATATTCCATTGTGCCTATGGACCACATTCTCTGATCCACTCATCCATCCATGGGCACGTGGCTCATCCCAACACCTCTTGGCTACTGTGAATAATGCTGAATCTCAGGCACACGGGATCTAGGCTCAAACTAGACTCTGAGATGGGATCACGGCATCACAGAAATACTTTGAGCACACCCTCAGGCTACCGGAAGCTCCCAGTGCCTGCCTGCCTCCTTCCTCTCTCCTCCCTCCCTCCTTTTCTTTTTCTTTTCTCTTTTCTTTTTCTTTCTTCCTTTCTTTCTTTCTTTTTCTTTCTTTCTTTCTTTCCTTCCTTCCTTCTTTCTCTCTCTCTCCTTCTTTCTTTCTTTCTTTCTTTCTTTCTTTTCTTTCTTTCTTTCTTTCTTTCTTTCTTTTGTTTTGTCTGTCCTTTCAAGACAGGGTTTCTCTGTGTAGCCCTGGCTGTCCAGGAACTCACTCTGTAGACCAGGCTGGCCTTGAACTCAGATCTACCTGCCTCTGCAGCTACCACCCAGCAGCTCCCAGTTCTTTAATCCTAGGCTACACCTACAGATGTGCTCAAGGTATGTACAGAACACTCACCCTGGAATCCCTTCAGCTGCCCAAGAGAGTAGGATCACCAGCAAGGGTAAACCCTGCCTGCTCCTCAGGAAGACCAGGTTTGGCTCAGGGCACTGCGGTCACTCAAGTTGGCATGCTCTGGGTATCAGCCTTATGTATGTATACTCAAACACAAGGACAAGGCTCTCCCAGCCTGGCATAATAACTTCAGATGCAAAGCAGGCCATGAGTCATTGGTGCTCAGCTAGCCTCACTTTACCTAGGCAGTAGTCATTCTGAGACTCCATGCCTTGGTACCCAACTTACTCCTTCAAAGTCAGGTGAGCAGATTGTGAGCATGACAGTGAGACCATTCTGTGAGTCTTGTTTCCATGTCACTGAGGCTCGTAGTGTCTGAAGGCCAAATCCAGACCCTGCACCCAGGCTCTGTGTTTCCAGCCCCAGTCCAGCGCATATCCTAGTCCAGCTGGCTCTCCGGAACAAGAGGGATGGGTGAGCAGAAAGCTGAGTAGCCTAGCAACACAGGACACAGGATCCTCACCCAGGGGAAGCTGTCCCCAGCCTCTCGCCCTTAAGGAGGAGGGCAATCATGGCATCTGCCAGGAGCCCTGGCCCAGGCCACCCTAGCCATGCCACACCCTGCCACTTCTCTCCAGACAGCAAGGTTTCCTTTCCAGAGCAGCAGGGGTGGGGTCAGGGTGGAGTCTGAGGATGAGGGAGGGACACTGAGCGTCTCAAGCAAGAACCCTCTAAGTCCCAGCTCCCCTTCTACTGCCACCCCTCCACCAGCCCCAGCCATGCAGGGAGCCTGGGTAGTGCTGCTGCTGGGCCTCAGGCTACAGCTGTCCTTTGGTGTCATCCCAGGTAAGAATGCTCCCTACCTGCTTGTCCCCGCTCACAAACACAGCCTTGTGGCTGACAACTACCTCTGCTCTCCCCCTTGGCCAGTGGAAGAGAAGAACCCAGCCTTCTGGAACCAAAAGGCAGCTGAGGCCCTGAATGCTGCCAAGAAGCTGCAGCCCATTCAGACATCAGCCAAGAACCTTATCATCTTCCTGGGGGACGGTGAGTGTTCAAGGCCTGGCCACCCTGGGGCCCTTGCACTCCAGGTACCCAAGGCCACTGATGGGTCCAGGAAGGTCTGGGAGCTCAGCTCTGATCAGGTTTTGCTCCTTCAGGAATGGGGGTGCCCACAGTGACAGCCACCAGGATCCTAAAGGGACAGTTGGAAGGCCATCTAGGACCTGAGACACCCCTAGCCATGGACCGCTTCCCATACATGGCTCTGTCCAAGGTGAGTACTGGGACACATCTGGGATGGGGGTGGGGAGACTGGGTATGGCTGGAGGAGGAAGAACCCAGAACATCTGGGGTCCAAGTTGGCAACCAGGACAGTGAACATGTCTCAGGAAGCGAGGACTGATGTCTACCAGTAGGACACAGCTGAGAGTGTCTCTGTCCCCAGACATACAACGTGGACAGACAGGTCCCAGACAGTGCAGGCACAGCCACCGCCTATCTCTGTGGGGTCAAGGCCAACTACAAGACCATTGGCTTGAGCGCAGCTGCCCGATTCGACCAGTGCAACACCACGTTTGGCAACGAGGTCATCTCGGTGATGTATCGTGCAAAGAAAGCAGGTGGGCTGGGTGTGGAAGCACACGCCATTAATCCCAGCACTTGAGAGGCAGAGGCAGGCAGATCTGAGTTCAAGGCCAGCCTGGTCTACAGAGTGAGGACTTGTGCAAAACAATAACAAAACCCAAAGAGCAAGTGGGTTGGGGCCTGGCTAAGGGGCTAAAGCAGGCTTGTAGCACTAGGTTGTCCACCTGATTCCTGTCATTTCCAGGAAAGTCTGTGGGAGTGGTGACCACCACGTCGGTGCAGCACGCCTCCCCAGCTGGCACCTACGCGCACACGGTGAACCGTGACTGGTACTCGGATGCAGACATGTCTGCCTCAGCGCTGCAGGAGGGCTGCAAGGACATCTCTCTACAGCTCATCTCCAACATGGACATTGACGTGAGCTCCAGATAGGAGGGGGAGAGGGGCTGGAGCAAGGTGTCACTCACTGCAGACTGTACAGCCCACAGTCTGAGTTCTGAGTCCTGTAGGACAGCAGAGGGGTTGGGTAGGGAAGGTTCAGCCAAGGAAGTCCCTTCCCTCAGACCTGTAGGGACCAGGTGCTGTTGCAAAAGAATAGAGGATCACTTAGATCCCAATTCACCTCTGATTATAGGTGATCCTCGGCGGTGGCCGCAAGTTCATGTTTCCCAAGGGAACACCAGACCAGGAATATCCAGACAACGCTGGCCAGGCTGGAACCAGGCTGGATGGACAGAACCTCGTTCAAGAGTGGCTGGCAAAGTATCAGGTATGGGGGTGGGGACTAGGGCAAAGGGCATAGCAGGGATTAGTGAGGGTGTGCATCCGAAGGTGAGTACTTAACAGATTGGCTGTGTCTCTGCAGGGAGCCAAATATGTTTGGAACCGCACAGAGCTCATTCAGGCGTCCCTGGCCCCATCTGTGACTCACCTCATGGGTAATAATTCCTATTACTTGCCCTGGAACCCCTCCATTAGGAAATTGTGTGTGTAGGGGGGTGGGTGGGGTGTGTCCTCAATCCCCTGTCTGGCGTTCACCATGGATTTTTTTATTCTTCAGGCCTCTTTGAGCCTGAACACATGAAATATGACATCTACCGAGACCCTACCCAGGACCCCTCCCTGGCGGAGATGACAGAGGTGGCTGTGCGCATACTGAGCAGGAACCCCCGAGGCTTCTACCTCTTTGTGGAAGGTGAGTGGTCGAGCCTGGAGAAAAGAGGAGGAAGCAGGGTCCAGGGCAGACTCGAACATCTCCCCACCACTGGTTTCCTGCAGGGGGCCTCATCGACCATGGCCACCATGATTCTGTAGCTTATCGTGCACTGACTGAGGCCGTCATGTTCGACTCAGCCATTGATAAAGCGGACCAGCTCACCAGTGAGCAGGACACGATGATCCTTGTCACTGCTGACCACTCCCACGTCTTCTCCTTTGGTGGCTACGTACCTCGAGGGAACTCTATCTTCGGTAGGCCAGGGGACAAGGCAAATGTATCAGTCGCACGCCAGAGATTTTTCTGGGCCTCAAGTGTGTATAAAGACACGGTACCTGCCTTGCAGGGGTTGGTGAAGACAAGCCAGTTGCCAGGCAAAGGTGAAGATTGTGGGCTACATGGGCTCCAAGCCAGGGCAGTCGCAAAATGTCTGTCTGTGCAGGGCTGGGGGCCCCCTTCAATGCTCTGGATGGCAAATCCTTTACCTCGATCCTATATGGCAACGGTCCCGGCTATAAACTCCAGAAAGGTGTCCGGCCAGATGTCACTGACAAGGAGAGCCGTAAGTTCTGTGCGGCCACCACCCTTGCCATCGAGGGTAGAGGAGACTGGGTCAAAGGCCTTCTGCCCAATACTTTGTTTCCCTAGGTGACCCCAAGTACCGGCAGCAGGCAGCTGTACCGCTGTCTTCAGAGACCCACGGCGGGGAGGACGTGGCGATATTCGCGCGTGGCCCACAGGCACACCTGGTGCACGGAGTGCAGGAGCAGAACTACATCGCACACGTCATGGCCTTTGCAGGCTGCCTGGAGCCCTACACGGACTGCGGCCTGGCGCCCCCTGCCGGCCAGAGCAGTGCAGCGAGCCGGGGCCAGACCTCCACCCTGATGCTCCTGTTGGCAGGGACAGTGTTGATGGTGGTGGCAGCTGACTGATGGTGAGCCCTGACTACCTGAGCTCACTGGACTCCACCCTAGTACCCCACAGCCGGCTCCAGTGTACCACGCTGTTGCTCCTCTCTGGACGCCTCCTGTCCCTCGGGTTCCCTGAACCTTGGCTTCAGGTTTCGAATCTCAGATCTAACTCAGGTTGCCAATCCTGCCATTCTATGGTGAACTCCAACAACGGATCTCACTCAGAGTGTTACAACCGCCTCAGAACCTGGAGCACTCCCCTCCCAGACCACCACAGCCTAACAGGATGCCCAGCAGACTGAGGGAATGCCATTCACAGCCACCCCTGGCCAGCTCTCTCTGGTGTTTGCCACTGATCTCAGCTTCCAGAAAACGTGACACCACACACTAAGTCACAGCTCAGCCTGTGCCTGAGAAGGACCACGTAGGCACTTGATGTCCCCCCAGGGCAAAGACTGAACAAGAATGTGTTGGCCTTTCTTGGCCAACAGAACATGTCCACAGCACATCCAACAGACCCTGGAGAGGCTGATGTGGCCGAGATCACCAGTTGCTCTTTGACGGTCCTCAGCTGCCACCACTGGGCCTCAAACTCACGATTCTTCTGCCTCAGCCTCCCAGGTGCTATAATTACATGCATGTGCCTTTATGCCTGGCTTGCACATTAATGTCCAAGCAAAGAATGATGCCTTCATTCTCCCGGGAGATTTTGCAATAATAAAATGAACTATTATACAACGCGAGGGCAGCGGCGCTTTCTTGAAAGAAAAGCTGAGTGTTCGGGTCGAGGTGGAGAGAGAAATGGACACCAGAAGCCGGAGTGAGGGAGAGGAGCAGACAGTTGGGGGCATTGACAAAGTGATACACAGCAACACAAGGGGCCCTGTACAAGGGAGGGAACAGTCACGGCGTGCAGGTTCCACCTCCCGACATGAGCTTCAGGTTTCTAAGGGTCAAACAGCTTAGCTACACACAGCTCAGCCCTTGCCTAAGGCTCCACCCCTTAACCAGCTATAGAGGTTGGGCAGGGGATCTCAGGAGCAGGTAGTGTACTAAGGCAAAGCATGCAAAGCTTATGCCGAAGTGTCCAAAGCCCCAGTGACACAGAGGAACATGTTCCTGGTTCTGACTAGGAAGGACCCTAATGGGTCATGGCCAGTACAGTTTCCACTCCAGAATCACTCACTGGGGCTGCCTCAGAGTTGGCCTTGACTGGACTCAGATTCCAGATGGGCAGAGACCATAGGCTCTCCCCAAGGTGGTCAGGGCAGATAGCTGTGGCCACACCTGCCCTGGAAAACATCCAGACTCTCCACCTCACCATCCCAGGAGGCAAAGGCAGTTCAGGAGGACCCCAACCTGCCCAGGCTCCCATGAGGCAGCAGTGAGCGCCAGCATGTGGCCCGGGATGATTCATGCTAATGGAGGGTCTCTGAGGCAAGGAGTTAGGGGTGCAGAAGTAGGGATTTGCAGCCTCACCTTTGGGGTGAGGAGGATGAGCTGGGACACCTGCTGTGGGTACAGCTAGCAACACCTCCTCATCCTCAGAAGTCCTTCTGGAAGAACTAGTCCGGTGGCCACTTGAGCATTCTGGGGAGGTCACAGAGTAGGAGGGGCTACACGGATACGCCAGAGTCCAGCCGCAGAGTTCCGGTCCGTCCCGGGGGAAGCCCTCCCATATCCTCTGCTGCCCGCCAGGTCTAGGTCACATTGCAATGTCTACAGCTGCTTCAGCATCACTGTCTGCTCTACCTGACGTGGGGATCTGGAGTGGAGAGCAGACTGGCCCTGCCCTGCTCCAGCTCCACCAATAATCCCCCAGCCCCTCTGCTCACACTGGCCAGTCAGTCAGCAGGGGCTCAGCTGCAGGATCTAGCTCCTGGGCCTTCTGCCCCTTAGCATTGGTCCTCAGCAGGCTGAGCAGGTGACTGATGAAAACCCTGCAGGTGCCCAGGCACTGTCCTAGGACAGGCTCCCGGGGCATGGGAGGGAGGGACTTGCCCAATGGGACACCAACAGACACACAGTAGAAGAGCTGGAGGCCGTCCTTCCCTGCAGCCCCAACCCAGCCCAGACACCTCCTTGCTCCCCTCATGCTGAGCTAGGTACAAGGTACAGAGTGTGTTTGTCCTTGTTAGTTTATTTTTTTGTAGGGTAGGGGGAGACAGGAATCTAGGGCAGAGGTCAACTTTCAAATTCTAGAAGATTTTCCGGACATTGATTGTCCCAACTTCAGGAACACAATTATAATCCTTCTCTCCAACCAAGAAGTAGCTGAAGTCCCATCCACTCCAGTCCATCCAGCATGGGGAGGGGTGGGAAGAGCTTCCCTCCACCCTTCAGCCCTTCCCTAGTCATCGTTCACTGTCCCCACAGGTAGGGACACCATGGAGCACTGTACTGGGAGTTGGGGCTTCTGGGATTCCTGGCCACTCTAGGTTCCTGCCCATCCAAGGGCTGGGAGTCTTGGCTCCTGCAGCGTCACTAAACACTGTAATTATTCAGGGAAATTGCTTGTTCCCTCCTCCCACACTCTGCTCCTCCCTCTCGGTTCCAGGTTCAAAGAAGACACACTCATGCTGATGATGTAGTGAGGAGCTTCTGTTGTCCAGGCTCACTGTGAGCCAGAAGGTTGATCAACCCCCAGGGGAGGTGTGCACAGCTAGCATGCACATACCAATGCATGCAGCCGTGAATGCAGCCTGGCTGGCTGTGTCAATTCATTGCAGTCTCTACTGCCTCTGTCCCTTCTTCCCAGGTGCCTTTGGTTTCGCTGCCTGTCCACGGCCCTCTTTTCTGCTTTTTCCTGAAGATCCCTACATCCTTCTGGGATCTTCAGACAGTAAACTGAAAAGAGACCAATGGGCATGTGGAGAGGTGTCCAAGCAACACAGATTAAACACCCTCATATTGCAAAGACTTACAGGTCACCTGTGGGGAGCACCTGAGAGGCATGGTGAGTTCCATGCACCAGAGACAGGAGCATCATCCAGGAAGTCCAGGGAGCATCATCCAGGAAGTCCAGGGAGCATCATCCAGGAAGTCCAGGGAGCATCATCCAGGAAGTCCAGGGAACACATCCAGAAAGGTCCAGGGAGCATCACCCAGGAAGTCCAGGGAACATCACCCAGGAAGTCCAGGGAACATCACCCAGGAAGGTCCAAGCATGCACATGCTGGCATGTAGCTATGCTATGACAGGAAAAATTATCACATTTGTAACCCAGGCTCTATGTACCAGCCTGGTCAAAGTGACCTTCTTAACAGCCAAACACTGGAAGCAGTCCCAGCATTCATCAATAGGACAGGGATGAAAACAGTATTTCCAGCTGAGCGGTGGTGGCTCACACCTTTAATCCCAGCACTCGGGAGCCAGAGGCAGGCGGATCTCTGTGAATTCGAGGCCAGCCTGGTCTACAGAGTGAGTTCCATGATAGCCAGAGATACACAGAGAAACCCTGTCTTGAAAAAAAAAGTAGCATTTCCATAAGCAGCAAACCATGCAGCAACGATGAATGATAGTGTTTGGTTTTTGGTTTTTTTTTTGGTTTTTTTTTTTTTTTTTTTGGTTTTTCGAGACAGGGTTTCTCTGTGTAGTTTTGTGCCTTTCCTGGAACTCACTTGGTAGCCCAGGCTGGCCTCGAACTCACAGAGATCCGCCTGGCTCTGCCTCCCGAGTGCTGGGATTAAAGGCGTGCGCCACCACCGCCCGGCTGATAGTGTTTGTTAAATGCAAGGCACACCTTGGAGGTTGTGGTTGCAGACCACCACCATTTCAGTAAGGGTTACTATTGCTGTGATGAAACACCATGGCAAAAGGGGGGAAAAGTAACTTGGGGAGGAAAGGGTTTATTTTATTTTACTCACAGTTCCACATAATCATCAAAAGCAGTGAGAACAGGAACTCACGCAAGGCAGGGACCTGGAGTCAGGCACTGAAGCAGAGGCCATGGAGGGGTGCTGCGTACTGCCTTGTTCAGCCTGCTTTCTTTTTCTTTCTTACTGGCTTTTTGAGACAGGGTTTCTCTGTGTAACAGTCCTGACAGTCCTGGATCTCACTCTGTAGACCAGGCTGGCCTTGAACTCAAAGAGATCTGCCTGCCTCTCCCTTCCAGGTGCTGGGATTAAAGGCGTGCGCCACCACCGCCCGGCTTCAGCCTGCTTTTTTATGGAAGCCAGGAACAAATGTCCTCCAGGCTTGCCTGCAGCCCAATGTTATGGAGACATTTGCTCGACTGAGGCTCCCTTCTCTCCGATGACCCTAGCTTGTGTCGAGTTGACATGAAACCAGCCAGCACAGCCACAGAAGTAATAATACCTTAAAGCAAGTCCTGTGGGCTTTGTTGTTTCCCAATGTGTATAAAAACTGTGCTTACAGTTTGGGTAAGTATATGGTAACATTATGTCTAAATAACGTGGGTTCCCTAATTTAGAAGTGTGTTACAGAGCCAGCAAGATGGCTCAGCAGGTAAGCCACCTACCTGCCCCTAACCTGAAGCCCTGAGCTGTAGCTAGAGTTTTCCTGCCTGGCCCACAGTCAGGACAAATCTCTCTCACCTGCCAGTCCCACAGCCACTCAGACCCGACCAAGTAAACAAGAGACTTATATTGCTTACAAACTGTATGGCCATGGCAGGCTTCTTGCTAACTGTTCTTACAGCTTAAATTAATCCATTTCCATAAATCTATACCTTGCCACGTGGCTCGTGGCTTACTGGCATCTTCACATGCTGCTTGTCATGGTAGCGGCTGGCAGTGACTCTCTGACTCAGCCTTCCACTTCCCAGAATTCTTCTCCTTCTTGTCCTGCCTATACTTCCTCCTGCCTAGCCACTGACCAATCCGTGTTTTATTTACCAACCAATCAGAGCAACACATTTGCCACACGGACCATCCCACAGCACTGAGCTCCATCCCTAGAACCCACATGGAAGAGGGACCAACTCCTGAGAGTTGACCTCCGACCTCCACACTCACACCGACTTAGCCAAGTGCACATGCACATGGGGAGAATACGTAATAAATTAATGTAAAGGAAAGGATGCTACAGCTAAGAACTGTTGGTGAGGACAGGTGTGCTAGCGTATGTCTGTAACTGCAACACCTGGGAGCCAAAGGCTGCCTACACTACACAGTGAATTCCCAGACAGCCTGGGTTACGGAGCAAGACCATGTCTCAAGAAAAAAAAAATGATGAGGACCACTGGCGTGGGACCACACATCTGTGCTTTCAGGACTCAGGAGGCTGAGGCAGCAGGAGGCTGACATTGAGGTCAATATATGCTATAAGGAGAACGTGCCTCAAAGTGTTCAAGGGACCATCACAGCTTCAGCATATTGTAACCTTTTGGCTGGTGTGGGAGATGTGGTCTTATATACACAGGTTTTCATGGCTGCTGTCTGGTGGTGTCTAAAGGTTGGGTGGCTGTGGCAACTTCTTCAAACAGCTCAACAGTTAAGTTTCCTTTGTTCACTGACTTCCTCACACACAGACACAGACACACAGACACACACACACATACACACACACACACACTCACAAGTGTGCCATGCTGCTTGGTGGCACTTTACCCACAGTATAACTTCCTTCAAAATCAGGGCTAAGAATATAGTACAGTTCAACAGTAGTGTGGGGCCCCAAGTTCAGTTCCCAGGACAAGTACGGGTGGGGAGAGGGGCATGGCTGA